CCTAGAACTTATGAGGGTGATTGTATTTTGTGTAGTTTATGTGAGTATGTGAGTGGGTTTTTGGGGTTTGCCTTTAGCCTGCTTGCTATTCCACAGGTGCCCACAGCCAGCCTTCTCAATGAGATGATATGTCAATGAGTAGAGTGCAATGTCTTTGACTTTGATGGATTGTGCAATATATGCATCAAAATCTGTGGTCACTATGTATTCTAGGTCTGAAATGAAATTCCCCTTGTTCATTGCTAACTGGCATGAATGGGCCAAAACAGGTGACTGTTGCTGATTTATTTGAAAATGCTCTCAGTTTCTGAAAACACTCCACATTTAGATAAGAGATTCTCCTTATCACATGGTCCTTTGTAGAGTAGCTGTGCTCATATGTGTTCAATTACTATAGTTTTGGAAATTAGATTTGATTGGGACTAAGAGAATATGATTCTTTACAGATAAATCTCTAGCCATAGTAAAGAACAGTATGGCAGCCAGAGCAAGTACTACAAATTGGAAGACCAACAGTATCACATCTCAAAACATGTTGACTTTAGGCAAATTGTTTTTATATGAGAAATTCAAACTCAGTTCAGACTCTGATAAAGTAACCACTCACATCAAAGATTGTTATCATTCATCAATTACTTTTGACTCCTATTGGCTATGTGTCTCCAAAGATATAAGCCCTTGAGTAAATTGGTGCATTCTGCAATTTGTTTTATTCTCACAGGGTTTCTCAGGGCCAAAAACTATCACTTTATTCTGATTCTCTCCAGAAGATGAGGAGGATCAAGATAACATAGCTGAAGACTGTTCACAAGATTCAAGCCCAGATGAACCAGATTTCCCTATTCTGCAGAATCCATCTGCCATTTTGAGACCATTCTATACTAGAATTGAAAGGAACAAGTGCAAAACCCAGGCAGGTTCAATTTTGACTGTCTTTAGTCATATATTTCACCAGTTGCAGGATGAATCGAGTTCATCAAAAGAAATCATATATTTGTTGTTGAGCTTTTAGTCTTTGCGATCACCTAAAAACTTGCTTGTCTCAGCAAATTCAGAAACAGCATCTGATGGTGAGCAGCAAGCAAAGAATCCTGATAAGTTGTTCATTCTTCTCCAATGATACAAATCTTTGCCCATGTCTTGCAGAATACTAGTGTACCCATGGACTATGACAGGTGGTGTGAATATTAGCAACAGTGATCTGAGTTGGTTATTATCTGGAGAATTTTTGAACAACAATCTCATAGAGCTTGGATTATAGTGTGTGACTTATAAACCACCTGTTTCAATTTTTACAAATATCTTTAAGCTGATATAAGAACTTTTGCAAACTGGTGAGCTCTTTATTGCAAAAGAAATTACTATTTTTAGTCTTTTTTAGTTCCCAAAGTTTCAGAAGTGAGCTCTTATCAACATCACTAGGAACTGTGTATATATATTCTCATAGGAATTACCAAGACATCTGCTATTGGACTGCAAAGTTTGACATATTCAAAAATAAATACTTGATTATATCAATGTATGAAAAGTGATTTTCTTTGCTAGCTGCTTCAACTGTGACTTGACAACATATAGTCTTCATTGGTATCTGGCCATTATTTATCATCCTGAATATATGCTACTAACAAATCAAGAATATCTTAAAAACAGTGAAAATCAAAACTTATTTGAAAGCAATGACCACAGGTAAGTCAGACTAGAACTGTGTGATTTATTGTAATTACATCCATTCAGAATAATGTTTTTTACCCTTGATTCTCTTGATTATTCACATTGGAGCAAAGCCAGCAAATTAGGGAAATTCCTTGCCCTTGAAGTCTTTGACAAAAAGGGGCTGCAAAATATAATGGAGGTGATTGGTCAAACTATCACTGTAGGTTCCAGAACACATGCCAATTGCTGGCTTAATGCAAAAGCAGATACTCATACAACCAAACTTTTCTGACTGTGGATTATACATGATGCACTTTGCCACAAAATTCATGTCAGATCCTGACAAATTTTACAAAGTCATGGTAATCATTCTCACCTGTCATCCTCAACAACTCATTCACATAAAACATTATCAGTCAACTTTAATCCTTTCAACCGGCATTGATCTGAAGACTTTCTGGGATAATGAAGAGGTTCCCAGCTTGCAAGCATCTTTTCAGAATGAGATCATTGATCTCTCCAATGAATGGTTCATTATAATAGCAATGCAACCTCCAGTGGCAGCTGATTCATGCAAAAGTAACATCGAGATAGTGGAGCAGACTGGATTAGCTGTTGGTCTTAAAAGAAAGCCTAATGATGTGGACGACTGGGAGGAATCACACTGTGAGCAGAAGAGAAAATGTACATAGACAAAGGCGTTTATCATATGAATATCAGGTACCTATCTCCCATCATCTCTAGTACCTAAGAAAGAGTATAGAATTTTCTTTGGTTTTCTACAATATTTTGTCCCATCTGTTTGCCTGCAAAAAAGGACAGAATGTTATCAAGGATACTACAATCTATAAAATGGTATCATGGAATCAATTTAATGTGAATTTGGTAACACAAGCTAGCTGTGTTTAGCACATACTTGATCAGTCATTCTCTATGCTCTGACTGGCATTCTTTGATTTCTTTTCTCAACTCTCCTCAACTCAATTTTATTATAAATACTTAGCTACATACATGTTGATGGTGTCTTACAAGGTTTTTTATTTTTCTTTTTTTCCTTATAATACACCTACAGGTAGAGAACAACTTATCACATGTGATTGCATATAACTGAGCCCCAGATAATCATCCCTTGCCACAGGCAATTATCATTGATTAATGGTACATTTGAGAGAAAATTGCACAACCATCACTAACCACAACACTGTATTCTACACATGCTATGACACCTACTCCTACCAACAAATGATGCAAGACCATGGCAAGATGCTCCCTTATAGAATGTAGCTTGAGTCAACATCATGAGGTGTCTTGAGCATGCAAGAGGGAGGATTCATGTTTTGCAGACAGTCTCCTCCCACCTCCACACTAAAGGACAGTCCTCACACACTTTCATCCATAAGCCTGTACTAATGTACAACCTCTGCAAGTGCTACCTAGACTGCACACATAGTGGTGTAATCCCTGATCTAAAACACTCTGCAAAAGCCTCCCTTACACAACTTGACCACTATCCAAGGTGACTGCCTTCATGCCTCCCAAGACCACAAACTCATCTCTCCCAAGAAGTACAGCCCACCTAGATATCACTCTTCTGCCCCCCCTCCCCCCCCCCTCTCTTTTTTTCTGGCCATTGGACATCAAGCTGGATGGCCCATAAGAACATTTAGTCAAAAAAAAATTTAAGTTTGGGAAGACAAATATCTGAGTACATAAGTAAATGAGAATCAAAGGCCCACCCAAAGTTACTAAGGTGCTTCAGCCACCTTTCAAGTCAGACAGAAACAGGGGTTCATAAATATAGTTATGAACAAACTTCTATCAAGAATAGTACTATATATGTTCAAAACTCTTGTAAGCAGAACCAAGTGCATCACTCATTACAATGATGCCTTTGTGGGAATTGTTTGATAGAACCATCAACATTTCCTTCACCAAAGAGTTGCTATCTCAGAACACTATAACATAATTAGCTGGAGTTTTATCATTTTTGCAATATGTACACAGATTTCACCATGACTTGGGGGTCCATCAGCTATTTTCCAGCACCTGAAGATAACATTCAATAACCTATTACTGAAAAGAAGATTGTGGACATACCTTGATAATCTGAGACAAAACACTTTCTCAATGTTTGAGAGTATTGGAGATGCTGCAGAAAGCATAAAAATGTGGCGATAGCATGATGATCTTCTGAAACATCTTCAACTGGTTCAGGGACATCATTCAATACATACTTGATGAAGTCATCAGAATCTAGGAGTTATTCCACCAGGACACAAAAATCCTACCAATCCTTTAACTTGACCGATTCTAGACAAGAAGTCAGCACAACTGCTGCCTCAACAAAGTGAAGGTTCAGAATCAGTCCAGGCAGTGGCCCATAAGACAACACTTTAGCATGGACCAATGTAATGCTCATATCATGAATGGCATTTGTCCAGACCATAATATTCACTTTCTGTAAAATGGCTGTATGTTTGACATTGTCAGTCATCTGCTGTGCCCCTTGCCTAGTTGAGAGGCCTAAATATGGCCACTTGATACAGGCTTTTCTCTGCAGCACTGCCAGAAAGTCAACACCCTCTAGATTCATTCCAATCTTAAGAAGTCACAAGTGAGCCATTTTGAAAGAGCCAGATCTGAGTCATCATTCTTCACTCTCTGTCCAGTCCACATAAATGTGTCCCTATAACTGCAAAGTGAAGGTGAATTGAGGGCTGCTTAGAAGTCCAAAAATGAGTTTTGGGATCAAACAAATCTCAACTGCTTATTTTGGTAAACCTAAAATATGTGTTGGTGATTAACATGGATTGTTTTGGGTGTAGAACTCACCAGGATCAAAGCTGCTCTCAAGATAACTTCCACTAGTGTTGATAATGTCTGGAATCACATCAAACCATTTGATGCAGTCTGATACATCAATGCCAGCACAAAGTCACTTGCTGCTGGGAACATCCATAGCAGGTGCTGGCAAAAGCTACAGAATTCAGTTAGCCTGGTAAGTAACTGGAAAGTCACCCACTACTCATTTTGAGGAACATGACCATTCACTATTCCCCTAAAGAATGATGTTAGATTGTGTGACAAAGAAAATGTCCTCCTCCCACTCACTGCATGATGGTCTCAATAATTGAGTCTGAAATATTGAATTTAAAAAATATTTATTTTAATGATATTTGAATCTAAAATACAGTAAGGAAACTCTAAGTATATTCTCTATATTTGGGAAAATTGCCTTAAAACTTAAAGAAATTATGAATATTGAAAATATATTTCAGCTATTTCTTAGATATTTCAAGTTCAGATGTTGTTAAAAATAAATATCTTTTGATTTTAATATTTTAACATTAAATATTGAAGCTACCATGCAGTGACTGAGATAGGTTGACTGAGGTGGTCTAGAAAAAATTGAAACATAATCAGTATCTGAAAGGTCATCCATCTGTTTAAAATCAATAAATATCCAAACAGAGGCTTCCTAGTTAATGTACACTTGAATCAAGTTCTGATTCTTCATGCTTCTTCCCTTTTCCATTCTTGACAGGAGATAACTTGAAAGAAATCAATGTAAATTGACATATAATGATAAAAATCATACTTTTAGAGTATCACCAGCCTTCCATTTGTCATATCTTTCAGCTGCTGCAGGGTTGAGTACTATATACCAGTTCTCAGGGGCTCTCTGAGAATATTTCAAGCCTCCAACTGGTGTGCTTTTCTTTGAGAGCCCTTTGGTTATACTTTTATAAAACAACTCTGTTGGTTCTAATAAATCTTCTTCCAGAATGGGTATCCACCCAGAGTCTACAACAAAGAAATCATCAGTGGTGAACTTGAAACCCTTTACTTTGTGATGGGCTTATACTAAAACAAGCAGGCTTTCAAGCACACATTGCATGACTTCAGTGTGGGGAGTCAGAGGAGGAAAGGAGACACCATGTTGTACATTCTGCCAAAAGTAGAGCTTATGTGGAAGAAGATGTATTTTTTTGTCCCATTTTCTCTTTTGACCTGAACAAAGACCTTTGCAAGTATGCCTTGACCTTCTACTGCAAGCTTGCAAAACTTGTCCTTCTCAGAATTATAGAGATAATGAGTAGGTGAATAGCCCATTTTAAGAGCATTTTTGTTTAGCAATGATATGGTGACTGGCAATCTCAATTTTGGAGCAGCTCCTGTCAAAGAGTACATTCACCAAATAAGAGAAGGTCAGTGAACATTTCTACCTTTTGCTTTGGCCTTCTTGATGCTTTCATCAATCAAAAGGGTGTTTGGGATGGACATGATGACTTTCAGAATAGTGTTGGACTACTTTAAGCAGGTGAATTCCTGAAATCGTTGGAATGGGCAGTGGTGCCATCTGACAGGCTAACAAAACCAATAAGATTTATCATGTTGGGCATATGGATAAGACTTACAGGATGACACCACTCTATTTTTCTTCAATAAATGTCTTGCATGTGGTGATGCAGCTTCTATAAAAGAATATTGGCTTGGAAGAGGTGAAAGTGCAAAAGACATACTTTTCTTTGATGTAAGCACCATGCATAATTTACAAGTTGTCAAGGTCAGGGTCTCAGTCCCTAAGTTCCTCAATGTAGCAGGCCCATCTATGTGCAAACATGCCTTCATTTGAAACTTTTTCTTTCCTGGCTAAAACTTGTATGGATCACCATTGGCTTTGCAATTTTTGCAATGCTAGGTATTTTCAATAATCAGAACTATCATCTAGTGCAAAGGTAAGATTAACCAGATTGACTGGGTCTGAAATATGTCAGTACCTGCCAGCACATTATATTGTTGAATACTCATTAGCATTTCCTAGAAGCATTGATCAGAAATGTAAAGTTGAAAGGTCACTCATGTTCAGAGCATCCAGCATCTCCATGGCAGATAAAGGAAGCCATCTGCTAGGCATATATAAATGGAATGAACTTAAAAAGGTACTCCAAGCACCCTTGTCTGCCAGAGACTCTCTGTCTTAGAATTTTTAAGATATTCTGGATGGATAAACTTCCATTGACGACTGGAAAAACAGTTCACCAAAGACACAATCAATCACTTGGTAAAACTTACTAAGCACAAAGTTCCCAGATGGACACTTTATAAAGATGGTAAAGGCAGGCAGACTGTAGAGTGATATTTTGCTCAATTTCATAATCAGTCTCTTTGTGGGTTGAACACCTATGTGGGAAAAAGACATTACTGAATTGCAAGGCTGAGTTTGCTAAGCATGCATAAAGAGACTTTAAGGTCATGGCTGTGAGCAGTCTGTGAGAGTGATAAAAGTCTTAAATTTCATCAACTGAACATTGTAAAAATACTCAAAAGAGGCTTTACCCATGAAGAGCAGAAGCATGCCAACACAGCAAGACAAGAGGACACAAGTCTCTGCTTGAGAACTGGAAGTGTTTTCACTCATGAAAGTTTGGTGGTCTCTGTAATGAAAGTGTGCTTTATATACTGGCTTTCACACATTGTCATACCATCTTAAAATGGTGAATTAATTATAGGTAAAGACTACATTGCTGGGCCCAAATTCAACAAGTTTTTCAGCCAGAATAAAAAAATTTCATCTTTTGGGGAAAGATATTCTTGGCCTGGTGAACATTTTCACTTCATATAAAAAGATGCTGATATTTTCTATCCAAAATTGTAATGAGTGTCATGGATATTCCAGAAAATCTTGTCCAATGATACAGGGCCATTCATTGTGTCAGAATAACAGGACTCTAATGATAAGACAACTGTCAGTGTCTATGCATGTTTCCATTTCACATCATGGAGAAAAACACAAATAAGAGATATTCCATGATTTTTCCAGATTTATGTCTGATCTTGGCTGGAACAATAAGCAATTTTTAGGTATCCACATTTATACCTGTTTCTCATCAAAATACCCAATCAACACTTTCTGCTTGGTGAGTTGTTGTAAATTATCTTTTCATTCCATTGACTATGGTGAAGTACCAGATAAAAGAATTTTGCCAAGACTGAAAGAGCTTTGGCTGATGGAGGGCAATGTAAATGATACCATTCTGTGTGAAGAACTCCAGAAAGTTTTCAATAGGTCAAAGTATACCTTAGGGTATGTTGAAGTTCTTACCTGGAGGATCCATTAATGGTGTCTTTTCAGCCTTTCCAGCTTTAGAAGAATGAGAAAAAGGCTGGGATTCCTCAGTACATAGCAGCAAAAGCATACTGTTGAGACTGTCTTGGAACATTTGGATAAAATGCAGAAGCAATTCCCCAAGGCAGGTTATTTCAAAATGAAGAAAATCTAAGAATTAACCACAATGTGCAAGTTTTGAGGTGAGTCTTTAAATTCTTCTAATGGTACAATTCTTAATAAAAGAGATAGAGATGTAATCAAGGAATAAGTGTATTTAAAGGAACCCTTGCATGCATCCCAAAGAATTTGAAAGGGAATTGTTAGAAAAGTTTTTTATTGTGCTGGTGTTAATGACCTCTGGTGTGTTGATCAATATTACAATTTCACTAAGTATCTTATCTTATCACCTCCATCGTAATCCTGCTATGCTAATATTCTGGTCTTGATCGCATCGCACCATGCTGGTACCACATGTTTTTCACACCACTACAGACTCTTGTACTATATTTAGAATGACCCAAACTGTATATAAGTAGCTTGACTGCAGGTCTTAAACCTCAGTCTTGAACTAAAGTTTATTCACCTGATAACTTGGCTAGAACTCACTCTCATATACTAAGTGTGCATGCTCCCTGAGAATGAATCTGTGAGCAACTAATACATGCCTGACCAAAGTGCAAGTCACATGTAGTTGTTTGATCTTGTTTGCCCAATTAGTCGCTAACAATCAACATAACAAGTGGAAATATCACTTTAGCCTCTGCCTTCACAGTGGTATAGACCCTTTCACTGGCATCCTAAAATGGATGCAAGTCTGGTGGAACAATTCAAATCCCATCTTAATCTGTTTGTACTACCTGGATGTAGTGGAACACACCAGGCATAGGTTTTTAAACCTTTCTGCAAGGTGTCACTATCTTATTCTTGTCCAGACAGTCCTGTTTTTACACAAAGTGATATGGGCAATGAGAATGGTAACCTAGCCAGGGTGCATAGCTTCTTGTGCCAATGGGCTGACAAGAACTTGGACAATACCTTGCAGCACCATTGGATGGCAGAGAAGAAAAACATTCCTTCAGAAATCATATGGAGTGTGTTTCATACTCACTTTAGCTTTGGCTACGAAGGAATCTTTCAGTTTGGCATTGAGCAAGGCTGGTATGACCTGAAGGTGCCTCTGGAAGCATACATCTCTTCTCTTTAACAGCTTCAAATCCAACTGGACTCAGCTGATTTTATAGATTGATATTCTGTTTTCTTTTTATCCCTTGGTTCCAACAAGAACTTGACTTATATGTGATCAAAAACAACATGACAAAGAAAAGATGAAATTGCAAGGTGGCAAGACCAAATGGAGTCTCTTTACTCATTGAATAAGCTCCTGAGTGATTTGGGGCTCAGGGTTTCAAGGTACCTACAAGCATCTATCATTTTTCCAAATTTAACATTTCTTCATAGGTTGCTTTCATCCCAGAATCTATACAATCTGCAAGACAAATTTATGCCTCATCTGATCACCCCATGCTGCAGCTTGTCCCTAACTCATTTATGCAGTGGGCTGAAGTATTTATGGAGAAACTCGGCCATCCAGAAGTAACCTGAAAATGCATCTAGAATGTATACCTTGCATTGCTGGATAAATTTCATAAATGGCACATCATTTCTATGAGAGCATATAAAGCAGAAGAAACTGACAAGAATCAAGAAGGTCCACAAGAAGTGGTTGGGCAAGGTTAGAATCTTTCAACTCAGACAATAAGTAATCTGATAAACTTCAATCAGACCAAGCTACAATACCTGATATTCTGGACTTGAACAGTGACAGTGAACTTGATGATGCCAATGTGGAAGATGTCAAAGCTGATGAAGAAGATGCAGAAATTTTGGGTGAGGCACCTGTTATAGAGATGTCCATCCTAGAATTCTTACAGTATATGTCATGAATGATGTTATATTTTGTTTTACTCAGGCATATGAGACTACATTTAGGTGGTTGTGGAAGGCAATGAAGGCCATGAGCCAGTTCATCTTTTGAATTCTATTCTGGGATGTCACAGGATGGCACTCATATTAGCCACCAGTCCAACAAACAAGATCTAACTCGAGCCACCGCAAAGTGGATAACTCTGATCATTGTTGTAGAAGGGACAAGGGGTGGGTGAAGACAACTAGTCATGCAGCAAGGAGATATGACTGGGTAGATTAAACCTTAGCTGTAGCTGGGGGTTAGGCCAGCGTAGGCTTCTGCTTAAATACATGATGTATGCTAATAATAGTACTGTGTGAATGAGAACTTGTAAGTCCAGCTGCTGAGTAAGTGGTGAAGAGTAAGCATGCATAATCATATATACATAAGAAAAGAAAAGAAAAGAATAAACCATGACATTACCCCCCTCCTTAAGACTCGTTCGTCCCGAATGAGCTACTAGGACTAGAGACCCCACTATTATTGGATGCTGTAGATTCGGTGTATAAGGTATAGTTATCATCTTGTTCCTCATCCGAGTCCCAGTTTTCGTGAACTCTTTGTAGGTTTTCTACGTCAACTTCCTTGTCTTCAATTCTTTCAAGTGACAACTGTGAAGAAAGAGGGACAGAGGTATAGGACCGTGAGTTAGTGTTTTGATGGTTGGGGTGATCTGGATATGAGCATTGTGAGGATGGAACGGTGATAATTTTGCAAGTAGTGCTTGGGCTGTGAGGTTCGACTAACCCATCTGGGATTTTATCGTCTTTGCTGACCAATTTACCATCTGCGTCTTTTATCCAATGGATTTTATGGATTCTCGCTTCATAATCATTGACTGACTCTTCTGCGTTGGCCATGTTGGAACATTTGACCCATGAATTCTCCTCCAGAGGATACCCCTTCCACTTTACCAAGTACTCAGTTATTTCCCAACGGTTTCTCCCCCGTCCTACTATTCTATCCTGTCGTTTCATGATCTCCTCAATCTCATATTCCTCCTCATCATCAATGAGTTTCTGGCAGTGGCCTTTCTGGCCGTGGTTGAATTGAAAACTCTGGTGCTGTGTAGGGGGTAAGTAGTGACTCGTTGAAGCAGTTGTGAATCTTCCACTTTGGTGGTAATTTCAATTCATATGCAGATGCCCCCTTTTTGGCAACAATTTTGAACAGGCCTATGCGATGATCACCCAATTTGTTGGTTGGTCATGGAAGATGGAGGTTGGTGGTGTCCAGCCACACTTGGTCTCCTGGTTTATACTCAATTGCAGGGCTGCGATGCTTATCATACACCCTTTTCATCACCTCCGCCGCTTTTTCCAACACACATTTCACCCCTTCCTGAACCTCTTGAATTCCTTTTACTAATTCATCTGCAGCCGGCACCATGCCTGTTGAGTGTGCAGTTGTGATTACCTCTCCATCCCGTCCAAAGATAACCTTGTAAGGTGAGTAGCCTGTGGACGAGTGTTGGCTGGTTATTATGAGTAAATGCCACTAGGGGTAGCCAATCACTCCAGTCATCCTGTCTCAAGTTAACAAACATTTTTAGGTACTTCTCAACCTCCTGGTTGACCCGTTTGGTCTGCCTATTGGTCTGAGGGTGGTACACCATAGATGGATTGCCTTCCACCTTGAGCAATGTGTAGAACCCTTTCATAAACTTGGACACGAACACGGACCCCCTGTCCGATATTACTTTCTTCGGCATCACTCCATATGGCACATAGATGTGGTCTCAGAGGATTTTCACAAAATCCATGGAGGTTAATCCTTTGGTGCAAGCGATTGGTATGATAGCTTTGGAGAACCTATTGACTATGACTAGAATGGAATTGTGGCCATTAGAGTCCAGTAACTTGGTGATCATGTCAACAGATATGTGGGTCCACGGGCTCTGAGGTATTTCATTAGGATGTAGGGGTGCTCTCTTGGGTTGATGATCGGCCTTAGTCTGCTGGCAAGTTTCGCACCCTTTTATGTATGCCTCCATGTCTCTTCTCATCCTAGGCCACCAATAGTCTCAGAGAATGAGTTCTTTGGTCTTTTCGATACCAGGGTGTCCAGCAGTAACATGATCATGCTTGGTGGCAATTATTCCTCCATGTAATTGGTGGTCCTATGGAACGTAGATACGTCTGTCATATGTCAGGAGGTCACAGTCTTGCGTTATACCCTTTTTGTGGTTCAGGGGGTCTGAAATGCCCCTGTCTCATTTATGCAGGTTGTGGGTCGCTAGCTTGATCCTCTCGTGCAGGTCCTCTGTGGTAGGCATCACCAAGGCTCGGAAATGCTTGGCCTTTAATACGGTTACATCACAGGTTGTCGCCCTTTCCCTGATCATGGTCTGCCCATCAGGAGAGGAGGTCGGCTTTGCAGTTTTGCACCCCAAGTTTGTGATGTAAGGTGAAATGGTATTCGGCCAACTCGGTGACCCACCTCGCCTGCCACCTGTTCAGCTTCTGTGGCTTGCAGAAATACTGGAGGTTAGAATGGTCTGTCCAGATCTCGAAGTCCTCCCTCACTCCCATCAGGTATTGTCGCCACTCCTCCAGTGCGATCATTATTGCGAGCAACTCCTTGTCATATATTTCATAGTTGCGTTCTGTAATTGATAACGATTTCGACAGGAATGCCATCAGCCTCCATTTATCTTCCTGTAGTTGTGACAACACCGCCCCAACTGCCCCTTCACTTGAGTCTGCTTCCACTCTGAACTTTCCATGATCCAAGAGGATCGCCAAAACTACATCTTCCTTGAATAACTCTTTGAGCTTTTTGAAGGCCGTCTGTTGCACCTTTCCCCAAGTCCAGTCCATTTTTCCCATGAGCATGGTTAAGGGCTTCACATGCTTGCTATAGTCATGGATGAACCACCAATAAAAGTTGCAGAAACCTAAGAACAATTGGAGCTCCTGCTTCTTCTGAGGTGTCAGCCAATCCAATAACCCAGCTATCTTGATGGGGTCCATTCTGATCTTCATCAGGGAAAAACCTGTGCACTACGTTTAGCTACGTTGAATATGTAGCCCAGATACCCTCGTAGCACACCCCCCCCTTACGTACCACTATGTAGCTCAGTCAAAATTGTATGTACCCACTAGTAGCGCCCAGTAGCACCTACCATTAGTTAGGTATCAGTACCGTAGCATTATGATACTGTAATGATATCACAACAGTTCTTCGCTGTACTAGTATGATAAAGATATAATCACGCAGTATGAGAGAGGTGAGATTAGATATATATCATCAAAATTCATATTTCACAGCAATTAGTTTATCATTCATCCAGGATCTCCATCTGGTTCTCCTCGTCATCTTCATCAGGTTCATCTTCACTATCCATTTCTCCAGTCCTACCATCGAGATCTGCCTTGGCCCGATTTTCTTCCTCTTCATCGTTGAGATATCCTGTCACTTTCTCCTTCGCTTTTGCACCAGAATTAGACCTACATATATGCAGAATGAGTATGATGTGCAACACCAATTTCATGAAGATGTCACCTAGCGCAATCATGCCAGCGTCTGCGAATGTTCTCTGTGACCTTCATGTTATCTTCGCACCATTTCTTGACATCTGCCAGATGAGCGAGATAGCGTGGGCATTGGATATCCTCATCCAGAGGTCTTGGTACATATTTACCGCTAGACCATTCTTCAATACAGTTCTCGAGCTAAAGGATATCAATCAGGTGTCATTAGGAGTGCAAAAAGGTAATCAAACACACAATAGTCATGACTAGTGCCAAGGATTCTGGTTTAATCAGGTCATAGTCATCCGAGTACCTGATTCTGGGGGCCTTTTGATTCTTGAACCAGCACACACATATCGCACGAAAGATAATCTTGTTTTCAAATTGTCTGAACTTCTCCTCTGGTTTCTGACATCACACTGAGCTAGTATTAAATGAGAACAGTGAAACAAACAGACCTTGAAGGAGAATGCACTGCCAGTTGAGAGCATAACGTAGAGATTCTTGTTTGTTTGTTGAATTTTCTTTTTGTCGGAGACCTGGAAGCCATACATTGGGGAGACCATAGGTTGGATCCGATCCCGAACATTGCCACAAGCTCTTGCGCCTTGTTTTTTAATCTGTCGTGCAGCTGTCAGCAAAGTGAACAAGACGACAGTAGTCACATACCATGGACTGAAGAGCAGCAGTCAGTTCAAACTCTTTCCCGACATTCTCACACACATCAGCCCACAGAGAATGAACAATTTCAGCTTGCTTTGTATCGTCAGGGTATGCGTCAACTGTAAAAATCTTGTTCTCATAGCGCTGGAGGACCTCATGGATCACACTCTTTGCAGTACCACTATAGTCCCGAAGATTGAGACCTTTCTCACCACGTGCAATGGTACAAGTTCGCTTGGAGTCCGATTTGGTGTCATTGGGACCTAGGCTTCGCTGGCACTTGCTATGATGAGAAGAGGATGCCGAATTCTCTGGAGGGTCATTACGAGGTGGAACAGAAGAACTTTTTTGTGCTAGATCCGAGTCTGGAAGCGGCAGCAATGGAATATCAGGCAGTGGAGGTGAATCTGGCACAGTGAGAGCAGAAGGCGAAGGTGCACAGGAACCTGAATGAGCTGAGTGACTGAGCTGTGGACGCCGGCTCTCCCACCGACGCCCAGTTGCAAGGTCAATTCGAGGGGGGGAAGATGAATGTTGCAACAGCTCAGTTGTGGGCTTGCAAGTTGAACCTTGTTTGCGAAGGTTTTTAGGTGGTTCATTTTGTATCGTTCCTTTGCTTCAAATCTGTTAAAGAACTCTGAAACTGTTCAAGCATAATAGTAACAACTCATACCAATGATGAGAAGAGGGTGCTTGGCTCTTCATTTTCCTCGTCTTCACTCTCTGGAGGCTCACGGCCATTGTGCAAGAGGCGATATTCCTCATCAGCATGCTCCTGGAGATCTTCTGGAGAAAGCAGTCAGATCTAGCTGAAAAAAATGCATAGGAGAGAAAGGATCACGGTTTGTTCGCATGGCTAGCACACTGGTGGTAGCAAGCTTTTGGTTCTTCTTCTTCAAGGCCACATTTTCTCTTTCGAGCTTTTTCATGTATTGCTCTTGACAGTTTTTATCTGTAAGATGTCTGTGAGTATGTTTAATAAACACTCGTGAAGTGGCACACCCATTTCCAACTGCTTCGTGCTCACAATTCTTTGATGAGGCACTCTAACTTCATCATCAGACTCAGAGGTGACAGTGTTTCTGCAAGCCATGGGACAAGGATGGTGGTGGTGCAAGGAAGAAAGCTATGATTGAAAATGTTTGTTGAAAAACAATAAAATAACGTGATCAACAAGACTCACCTTACCACGTTTCCACTTGCCTGATATATTTCTTGCACTGCACCAATGGCCCCCACACATTATCATTGCCCATTCTGCAGATCTTCAACGTGTTCGTTGCAAGGCATGAAGTCTCATTATGCCCTGACACCATGTGGAAAACAGCTGGATGACAAGTTTAGGGGTCAAGCATCGGTGGCAAAAAAACAAAAGCACATACACGTTGCAACAGAATCATCAGCAATGGCAGTCCCATCTTCCAGTCCTGGTCCATCAGATAGAACAGACATCCCCAATATAGAGTCACAAGCCTTCCCAGAGCCATCTGACTCATTCGAACCTCCACCCTCTCGCCCCTCAAAAAAAACCAGAGTCGAGGACGTTCCAGATGAAGACGATGATGAAGCGGGATCAGTGCAATGGATAGACGACTTCCCATTTCCAGCCGGTGATCCCATCGTGTGGTGTGGTACTCAGGAGACACCGTTTCAGATGTACCGTCGAGAGAAGCTGGCACGAGGAGAGGATATGTGGCAGCCCTTTGAAAGTCACAAAGAATGGGAGCTTGCCTGTTGGCTCGTTCGTTCAGGGATCAGCCAGAAAGAAATCGACAACTTCTTGAAGTTGGCAAGTGTAAGTGACTCTTGTGCATGCTAGTACCAGAAGGGAGTCCTGATTTTGCTTTTCAGATTAAGGAAGACGTTGCACCGGCTTTCGATACAAAACGCAAATTATTCCAGACTATTGATAAACTGCCAACGGGTCCAGAATGGGAGTGTGAGATCTTCAAGATAGTTGGCGATGAAGTGGATGAAAAGGGGAACAACCGCACAGAGGAAGTGGAACTATGGAAAAGAGACCCGGTTGCATGTGTTCGTGAGCTCGTCGGTGACCCTCGGTTTATAAATTGCATACGCTATGCACCAGAACGCATTTACAAGGATTCAAATGGTACCTCGCGAGTATACAGCGAGATGGCAATGGCAGATTGGTGGTGGGAAATACAGGTGAGCTCTATAATCTACTAATTAGCATGTGACATTGAGACTAATATATGCAGAAACTCTTACCTCAGGGTGTTACAATTGCACCAATAATACTGGCCTCCAATAAGACCCAGCTTTCCCGCTTCAGTGGCGACAAGCAGGCCTGGCCTGTATACCTGACAATCGGCAATATCGACAAAGATATGAGACGAAAACCATCAGAACATGCGACCGTGTTGATAGGCTATCTCCCTGTCAGCAAGCTTGAGTGCTTCTCCAAAAAATGACGAGCTATCAAATCATACCAGCTGTTCCATACATGCATGCGATCACTACTCCAACCCTTAGTCAAAGCTGGAAAGGATGGTGTCGAGATGCTGTGTGCCAATGGCAAGACCCAACTCATCTATCCACTTCTGGCTGCATATGTCACCGACTATCCAGAGCAATGCCTCGTAGGTTGCTGCATGGAGAATCGATGTCCAAAGTGCACATCACCTGCAAAGAAAATGGGCGATCCTGTCTGCTTGGTAATGTGTGATCCAGAGAGCATTATCCAAAGCCTGAAAGATGCATCCGCAGGGTTGAAGTCGCAAGAATATGCCGACTGGGGACTTTGACCTGTGAATCCCTTCTGGATAGACTTACCGCACTGCAATATATTCGAATGTTTCACCCCAGATATCCTCCACCAGCTGCATAAGGGCATATTCAAGGACCATCTCGTAAAATGGACAACGTCTACAATCAATGTGGAGGATGGAAGAAAGCCAGAGGATGAGATTGATGGTCGATTCAAAGCCATGACACGACATCCAAGTCTTCGGCATTTCAAAAAGGGTATATCATTAGTGACACAGTGGACTGGGAATGAGTACAAGAATATGGAAAAGATCTTTCTGTCTGTCATCGCAGGATCAGCATCCTGGGAGGTCACAGTCTGCGTCCGTGCAGTTCTAGACTTCATTTACTATGCCCACTTTGAAGAGCATACAGATAAGAGTCTGGACAAGCTTGAAGAAGCATGGCATACCTTCCATCGACACAAAAATATCTTTATCAATCTCAACGCTCGCAATGACTTTAATATCCCGAAAGTCCATTCCACTATGCACTATGCAGCAATGATACGGTCTCGAGGAACGGCAGATGGATTCAATACAGAGGTGTCAGAGCGGTTGCATATCAATTACGCAAAGGTTGCATATAATGCATCCAACAAGAAGGGATACATTAGGCAGATGATGAAGTGGCTGATGCAAAGAGAGGCTGTGGAGAGATTTCAGAGATTTCTCCAGTGGGCAATTGACAACTACGCTGAGCCAGAAGAAGACAAGGAAGATGAGGATGAGGATGAGGATGATGACGGTCAACAAGCAGGCATTGTTCCCACGACATTTGATGGAACCGAGTCTGGCCACTTGACATCTGGTCACCCTTCTGCCATCACAGACAACAATGCAAATGCGGATGAGGAATCCAGCACATCCAAACCATCTTCAGAGTATGGTGAATGCCAGTATTCCATTGCAAAGTCTCCATCATACACCAATGTTGATATTCTCTCTCTCAAAAAACGGTTTGGCGCCACGAAATTTGTATATGCACTGGAAGCTTTTCTTCGATGGCATTTTGGTAAAGTACCACCGGATTTTTGGATGTCAGAGCCAGCAACATATAGTGTATACAAACGCTTCTGTATCTTCATCCCACCGATTCCCGAGGTCTCAAAATCAATTACTATGGTGTTAGCCACTAACTCTATCGACTTAGATCGTGTTAGGATCGCTACTCGCACTTTGGTAGTCGATACTCTAACAGGCCAAAGGCGATGAAAGTCGATGGGACAAGTAGTCACGAAGAACGGAGTTCGATATTAGGTAGATTAAACCTTAGCCGAAGCTGGGGTTCAGACCAGCTGAGGCTCTACTTAAATACACGTGAGTATTCTAAAAATACTAATGCGCAGTCAGTCTGTGATGATCGCGCGTCACGTAATCCGGCTGACTAAAGAAAGGAAAAGAAAAGAAAAGGAAAGAAAAAGAAAAAGAAAAGAATAACCGTAACATTACCCCCTCCTTAAGACTCATTCGTCCCGAATGAGAATATGTCTCCTTCCTTCCACACAAGCGAATTGAGGGGCTCCCTTCTGCTTTAAAACAGGATCGATTGGACCTCCGCTACCCCGAAAAGAGTCACTGCGTTGGGTTCGGCCTCTGACCCTCTCTCCCCCTGGACTCAGGTTCCTATAAATCCTGAGCCACCATGCGCCGGTTAAGCCTCAATTGTCTGTCGGGATCCGCGATCCCTAAGGGTTCAATGCTCGTAATTGAGCGGTGGAAATCCCCTTCTACACCGTGAAAATGATGCCTTTAGGCGTCGCTTGTCTGGCTAGATTCTTCTCTGCCGCTTGAAGACGAATGTGTTGTTTCGGAGTGGGAAGACCAGGTATCGTCGTCTGTGTCTTCATCGCTATCGGTTTCTGTGTCCCAATTTTCTCGTATACATTCAAGGTTTCGAAGGTTTACTTCTTCTTCTTCATCTGGGCAGTCATCGGAGAGGGTCATGGTATCAATGACTTCGGGAGATGGATAAGAGTCTGGCTGGGCGTCGGAGTGTCTTGGGTTCGTACACTCGGATGAATAGACCGTTTGGATGTCGGTGACGCACGGGGTATCCGGGTTGTGATATTCGACGGGTAGGTTACGGGGTATTTTGTCGTCATATCCGATCGTTTTTCCTCTGTCATTCACTGTCCATACCATCTTTTGGAGGCGGGCCTCGTATTCGTTTACCAGCTCTTCGGCGTTGGCCATGTCGGAGCGTTTTACCCACGAGTTTTCCTCTATTGGATAACCCTTCCACTTGACGAGGTACTCTGTAATGGTGCGGCGAGTTCGTCCGCGACCGACAACCCGGTCTCTTTCTCCTGCGATTTCTTCAATCTCGTATTCCTCTTCGTCATCAATTAACTCCGGTGGTGGTCGCTCTGGTCGTGGCTGATTGGGGAACTCTGGAGCCTGATATGGGGTCAACAGGGACTCGTTAAATCGGTTGTGGATGCGCCACTTCGTAGGGAGTTTCAGCTCGTATGCTGACGCTCCCTTTTTGGCCACGATCGCGAACGGTCCCACTCGCCTGTCTCCCAGCTTCTTCGCCGGACGAGGGAGGTTTAGGTTGGTCGTGTCCAACCATACTCTATCGCCGACTTGATAATCTCGGGCTTTTCCTTTGTGCTTATCGTAAGCCCTTTTCATTGACTCGGCTGCTCGTTCCAGCGATTCTTTCGCTTTCTCCTGTACCTCCCGAATTCCTTGGATGAGTTTGGAAGCGGCTGGTACCGCTTCTGGACGCTGGGCTGTTTTAATTACTTGTCCATCGCGTCCAAAGACCACTTTATATGGAGAGAACCCGGTGGCCGAATGTTTTCGGTTATTGTGAGTGAACGCGGCGAGAGGTAACCAATCGCTCCAATCATCCTGGCGGTAGTTGACGAACATCTTGAGATATTTCTCAATCTCCTGATTAACTCTCTCGGTTTGTCCGTCCGTCTGCGGGTGGTATGCTGTCGAAGGGTTCCCCGTTACGTGGAGAAGGGCATAGAATTCCTTCATGAACTTGGACACGAAAACGGCCCCCCCTGTCAGAAATGACCTTTTCGGGCATCACACCGTATGGCACATAGATGTAGTCGCGTAGGATTTTCGCGAATCCAAGGGACGATAATTCTTCGGTGCATGCTATGGGAATGATGGTCTTGGAGAACCTATCGACTAGGACGAGAATGGAATTATTTCCCTTGGAGTCCGGGAGCTTGGTGATCATGTCGACAGAGATGTGCGTCCACGGTCGGTCCGGGACTTCGTTCGGGTGAAGGGGTGCCTTCTTGGGACGACGATCTGCCTTCGTTCGTTGGCAGACTTCACATCCCTTCACATACGCCTCGACCTCGGTGCGCATCCTTGGCCACCAATAGTTCTGCAGGATAAGTTCCTTCGTCTTTTCGATTCCCGGGTGTCCGGCGGTTGCGTGATCATGACATAGGGCAATAATTTTGCCCCGTAGTTGTCGGTCTCGCGGTACATATATGCGTCCATCGTACCACAATAACTCTTGTTCTCGAAAAACCCCCTTTTCGTGATTGAGGGAGTCCGAGATGCCTCGATCCCACTTACGGGGATCATGAGTAGCTAATTTGATCTTCTCGTGTAGGTCTTCCACCGTTGGCATTACGAGGGCTCGAAAATGGGCTGGTTTGAGGACTATAACGTCCTGATTGTCTTGTTTCCCCTGGTCGTGATCTGCTCGTCTGGACAGTAGGTCTGCTTTGCGGTTCTGGGCCCCTGGTTTATGGTGTAGCGTGAACTGGTACTCGGCCAGTTCTGTTACCCATCGAGCTTGTCGTCGATTAAGCTTTTGGGGTTTACGGAAGTACTGGAGATTGGAGTGATCCGTCCAGATCTCGAAGTCTTCTCGTGCGCCCATGAGATATTGTCGCCACTCTTCCAAAGCGATCATGATGGCGAGGAGTTCCTTGTCGTAGATCTCATAGTTGCGCTCCGTGACGGACAGCGCTTTGGATAGGAATGCGACCGGCCGCCATTTCTCTTTTTGCCATTGGGACAATACGGCCCCCACTGCTCCCTCGCTAGAGTCCGCCTCTACTCGGAATTTCCCTTCGTCAAGAGGGATGGTTAATACCACATCCTCGCGGAACAGCTCTTTGAGGTTTTCGAAGGCCTCCTGTTGGGCCTTTCCCCACTTCCATTCGACCTTCCCCGTAAGGGCTGTGAGAGGTTTAATGTGCTTACTATAATCGCGAATAAACCGTCGATAGAAATTGCAAAAACCCAAGAATGATTGGAGTTCTTGCTTTTTGGAGGGAACCAGCCAATCTAAGAGTCCAGCAATTTTGACCAGATCCATACGAATCCTCCCTTCGCTGATGAGCACTCCTAAGTACTCCGTCTCTTCCACCTCGAATTCGCATTTCTCTGCTTTGAGGAACAACTTGTTCTCCCGAAGAATCTGTAGTACCTTCCGCACGATACGTTTATGCTCCTTTTTGGTCTTGGACGCAATCAGGATGTCGTCAAGGTAGACGGATACTTCCCCCATGGTGATGAGATCTTTAAAGATGTCGTTCATCATCCACTGGAAAGTCGCGGGCGAATTGGTAAGTCCGAAGAACATTACGAGGGGTTCGTAGAGACCCCGATTGGTGCGAAAGGCCGCTTTCCACTCATCCCCTTCTTTTATCCTCACGTTATTGTATCCCCACCGTACATCTAGCTTGGTAAAATATTTCGCCTGCTTTAGTCGATCCATAAGTTCCCCGATGAGAGGGAGTGGGTACCTATTCTTGATCGTCATCTCATTGAGTTTGCGATAGTCCTGAACGGGACATAATTTACCGTCCTTCTTCTTGACAAAGAAGAAAGGTGAGGCCATGGGGGATTTGAGGCTTGGATGCGCCCTGTGGATAGGTTTTCGTCCAAAAACTTATCGAGCTCCTCCTGTTCCGCGGGATTGAGAGGGTAGACTTTACAGTCTAGATTGGCGTTGGCATTGGGGATTAGCTCGATGGCATGGTCCCACGGTTTTCGCGGTGGTAACTCGTCGAAGTTCTCTTTTGCGAACACATCCTCGAAGTCTCAGTACTCGGTCGGTACGATCTCTTCGAAAGATTTAGTCTCCTTGCGAGCGTTAGCTCGCGCAGCCAACTCGTTGGCTTTCGTACCCATGGCTCGTACATGGAAGGCTTCTTCAAAGTCGATTACTAAAATCGTGTCCCCTTCTTCATACTCTTCCCATTTGGACGAGGGATCCGTGTCCGGGAGGGAAAAGGGTATCTTTTGACAAGCACAGCGGGCCAGTGTAACGGCTCCTGTGTCCCAGTCGATCAAGGGATTGTGTCTCTGCAACCAGTCATGTCCTAGGAATAGGGGAGTAGACCCCAAGTCCACGACGGCTAACTCGATCCGTTCCACGTGGTCCCCGATTCTAAGTCGTACCTCGGCATATTCCGTGATATCACCGCCCTTGTTGCGCGTGCCATCAGCATTGTAGACCGGAACGGGTCGAGCCGCCTTTTTGAGGTTAAGGGCGTGACTTCGGGCCCAGTCGCGGTCTATAGAGCTGCCGGTGGCCCCGCTGTCCACTAGCGCTTTTACCGAGTGCGTTTCTTGGGTGTCTAACGCCTCTAACTGCACGTTAATGGATACATTCCGGCCCTTCCTGCCTCGTATGTACATAGGTGGTTTCGTAAGGTCGTCCAGCCACTGCCACCTGTCCCTTGCCTCCGCTGCTGTTTCCGGCTGTTCTTTTAACGCCTCCCATAACTCCGTGGTCACCTCTCCGATGCGTCGTGGGTGTACCCATCGGTTGAGGGTGGCAAAAGCTGCTGCTTCCATAGTGGCCAAGCGTAAAGCCCTTCGGGTCCAATGTCGTCCAAAGGGCTCGTAATATGTATCCAGAACGGGTTTGCGGACCTCGTTCGGTAGGGTAGGCTCAGGGGTCACGCGAGACGTCCCTTTCGGTCGAACTGTCGGGATATCGGAACGTAGGTAGGCTTCTTCGTCTTCGACTTCTTCTAGCGAAACCGAGGAGGTCTTGCTTCGAGGCGGCATTTGGTCACCGGGCCGAAAAGGGCCCCTCAGCGGCACTTGGTCGCCTTCCGTCGAAGTGGTAGGGGAGGGCTCGCTGCCCTGTGTTCGGCCCTGGCCATGGGCGCTTGTGTGCGGCGTTGTAACCCCTACGGTGGATCCGTACTTACTGCTCTTCCTGGACCCGGCGGTACTTCGGGTAACCCTTCGGGAGCGCACACATGTTGGCTCTGGCGGGGGGTCTGCACCGTTTGCCGCAGCATTGTCCTTGGCTACTAAGGGCAGGGGGTCCCTCGCCTTCACAGCCTCAGCTGCTTTCTCCACGCTTCCCACTGGAACAGACGGCCCCACAGATGAGGACGCAGGCCCAGCGGGCTGGGTTGTCGACCTTTCTCCCACTCCGGGGTGACCTCCCTTCGTCAAGGGTGCAGTCGAGACTCGACCTAGGGGGCTCTGCCCTCGAGGGGCTTTCCCTGTGCGGTGAGCTGGGGGTTCCTGAGCTCGGACGGCCCCTAGGGGTTCAGTACTGAGCGCAGGCTGCGCGGAGTGGCGGAAATCCCCTCCTACGCCGTCGGGATGTTGCGATTCCTTATTCTTAGTGTTTTCGACTGGTAACGCGGCGAAAGTATCGGTATATTGTTCAAACGGAGTACCTACATATGTAGTATAAGTCCGACTAATAGTACAAGATTGCGCACCAGGTGAAACTAAGTCCTTAGCCGACGTCGTCGAATCGCTTATTTCGACGCCGGCTTGTCTTTTGACGACTTCTCGTCCTTCGGCTTCTCCTCTTTCACTTCTTCTACCTTCGTTGTAGTGGCCAGCTCCTCCGTTTCGGCTTCAGTGAGTAGTTGACGGAGGCGGGCGACGTTAGGCTTCTTGCGAGGTGGGAGCTTGATGGGAAGCCACTTGGACTTGTCGTCAGGACACTTATGCTTCGGGGTCCACCCAGCGTTCCCACACTTGAAGCACCGCTTGTCGGACTGCAGCTTGTCGATTTCCATCGGCTGTCCGGCACCTCCATACGTGGTCCCTGTGGCGTCCTTCTTATCACCACCGGAACTGCTTCCCTTCGATTGATTGCCTCGACCCGAACCGCTTGGGTTCGTGGAGGTCTTACTAGCGAGGCCCTGGGCCACGTCGTACCTGTAGTTGGCGTCGATCCTGAGGACTCGTGCCTTCCATTGTGCGTAGGTTGTGGGGCGCTCGTTGTCCCCATGCATAACCATCTTTCGCACCGTTGGTCGTATCGCCGCTTCGACCGCTTCGAACATCTGCTTCTCGTCGCCGAACTCCCCGCATTTGTGAGCTAACCGTTCGAACTTGGCGAAGAATTCGACTGCGGATTTAAACTCCGACTGCCGTACTTTCTTCCATTCAGCCTTCCAGATCGCGACCTCCGCTACTTCTCGGAATTCTTGCGTTAGGTCGCGAGAGAACTCTGCCCAGGTGGGGAATCTCCAGTGCCCCGCGTCGTCCCGGTAGTGGTAGTACTGATCGCCCCACCATTGCTTTGCCTTTTCTCTAAGATACCCTTGCGCGAACGTGATGCGGTAAGGGTTTCTGCCCTTGGTCGTTCATTGTAAAATACACCGGAAAAACCTGGAAGTACATTTCACAGTGATGGAGGAATCGGTTAATGTCTTCCGATTCTCCGGTGAAATATTCGGGCTGAGTAATCAGCTTAGGTTTGACGTCGTTCCAGGGGTTGTTGTCTTTGCCTGCCGCCAAAGTCCATGGCGGTATAGGATCCGGGGGCGACGGCATGGGAGGCGGTACCCGGGGGGTTCGGTGGTCGCGGAAGCGATCGTAGACGGTAATTTTCCCCAGGCGGGGGGTAATCGCCTGGGTATACGGGCTTTCGTGGCGGCTGCGACGGTGGTTGAGGCGGGACGGTGGACTGTTTCCCCTTGTTCGTGTTTGAGGGTCCCGCGTCGGGATCGTCCATGTCGTCGTCGTCCGGCCCGGCACCTGCCCAAAACTCCTCTGTTTCAAGCGGGTTCGGCATCGGCTGAGGGCGTCGGTAGGGTTCGCACCCTCGTTGGGGTGCTTGCGGGTTCATCATATTCCATATGATGGCAGCCCGATGCCACGTTTCTACTTCGAGTATATTTTTCATGAGGTAAACGTCCCCCATGCTTTTCGCGCTTTGATAATCAACCCCCGCGTCCGTAAACAGCCACTGGGGGTCCTTCTCCATGTGCTCCATGATAATCTCGTACAGTCCGTGCCATGGAAGAATGTTAAATATCGGGGGTCGAGGAGTCGGGCCCCAGAGCAGGACCTGAGCCACCGCTGCCATCACGGTGGGTTCGAGGGCCTGGCTGGGAGGACGACTCGGCATCCTTTGCCTCCTGCCTCTCTCTGGCGAGTCGGTCAAGCTCCTTGTTCCGCTTCCACCTCCCGATGTCGGAGTCCTCATTGGAGATCTCCTCCTGGTAGACTCTCCAAGCTCGGGCTCTGGCTTCGAGGTCGGTTCCTGCCCTTCAGGCATATCCTGTATAGCGGACGGCGGCCGCTCGGATTCGGTTGTCCACCTCGGCGGGGGTGGCGTCGGGCTCGAGGGGAAGGTCCCAGAAGCCATTGGGCCCGTAGAGGGCGTCTTCTTCAGCGCGGCGGATGCGTGCATCATGCGCTCGGCCTCTGTCCATTCGGGCCTGGACGTCTGGGGACTCCCGGGCATCTCGAGGGAGTCGGAGGGACTCGACGTATGTGTGATAGAGGAGAGGCCATGGACGCTGGTTCGCCGGGACGGGGTCGGCGAAGGCTCTCGACACGACCGACGGTTCCCAGTTGGAGACTCCGGCGAGTCGCTCGGAAGAGGTAACTGTTCCAAGTTCCTCGGCGTCGTAATCTGGGAACTCGCCCCAAAGCTCCCCATTCGTCGGCTCGTGCGCGGGGGATGGGGGAAGGGAGTGTTGGGGTCTTGGACCCTTCAGAGACCATGTCGGACTCTCCTCCGGTCTCGACTCCGGCCACAGGAGTCTCTTCCCCGTCGTCGGCGTAGACCCAACTGGTGTCGGGGTACCAGGCGACCGGGGGTCCTCTATTGGTTGGCCAGGCCCTTGGAACAGACTGTGGGTCAGTTGTACTGGTGGTAGCCGCGGAGGCTCCGAGGCCAAGCTCTCCGGAATCTTCGTAGAAGTCGTCTCGGCGACTCCTGTTGCGCGCCATTCTTGCGCGATCTCTTGCATTGTCGGCCGCGATTCTCCTGTCGCGGACTTCCTCCCATACGCCTGAGTGTCCCCACCCGGAGTGGGTTCTCTCGTTCGTGGAGCCTCCGGAATCGGTGGCATCTTCCTCCTCACTCGAGTAGAGGTCGTTGAGGAGGTCGTCGAGTCGGGTCCTTTCCCACTCGGTGAGCTCGTCCCCTTCGAACTCGGTGTCAGGGCTTTCTTCACCCTCGACCAGATTCCTGGTGCCTTGTCTTCGGCCTCCGTCGTCGCCAGACTCGCTTTGGACTGGAGACTGGTCGAAGAGACCTGGTAAGGGCGAGTCTCCTCGCTCGAGGAGTACCCCCCGGGTATCGGTGATGTCGATTGAATCGACTGCTGCGCTGGAAGCGCTTCTGGAGGAGTCGGTGCTCGACTCTGAGGATCGCGAGCTGGGTCGCGACGATGTGTAAAGGGACTCTCCAGGTCCCCCGGAGTTGTTGGATCCGACATCTTCTATGGTCTGTTGCGACGCCGAAGGGATGTCGATTACCGGCGGTGGGTATGCTGGGGTGCTGGGGATGTAATGGAACGGGAGTTGTGCGCGAATCTGTCTCCGCTGGCAACAACGGCGAAGTTGGTACAAAGTAATGGAGCAGAAAAAGAGTATAAAAGTCGCGAAGATGGCGAGAATGGATTCTGACCAGGGCATCCGTCAATGGGTCGATCCTTGGTGTAAGTCGACGATAGACCATGCAAGCTGATAAACAGCGAGCACGGTGAGGACAATGAGGAGGGCGATAATCAAGCTAAGGTCGGTCTCGTAATTGGATCCGTTCATTAACTGGATTTCGCAGTTTTCGTCGGATGGGGAGCTCGTCACTATCAACAATGCGATTGTTAACAGAGAAGTGAGCTGGAGGGCGAGGATGAAGGGTTTTATGGTTTTAGTAATGGCGTAGAAATCCGACCCAGAGTAGCAGGAGGAGTCCTGCGAACACCGGGGATGGGACGTATACGCAGACGAGGAATACTCGAAGGACGGTTGCGACAACCTGTCCCAGAGGGTCGTTCAAGAGGAATTGTAGCACGGAAAGTGCTACTACGATGAAGAGAATGATCGGGAAAATGTTGGGCAACGGTTCGTCGTTGGGCAACTAAAGACGAGCTTCAGCTAAATGTTAGCCACTAACTCTATCGACTTAGATCGTGTTAGGATCGCTACTCGCACTTTGGTAGTCGATACTCTAACAGGCCAAAGGCGATGAAAGTCGATGGGACAAGTAGTCACGAAGAACGGAGTTCGATATTAGGTAGATTAAACCTTAGCCAAAGCTGGGGTTCAGACCAGCTGAGGCTCTACTTAAATACACGCGAGTATTCTAAAAATACTAATGCGCAGTCAGTCCGTGATGATCGCGCGTCGCGTAATCCGGCTGACTAAAGAAAGGAAAAGAAAAGAAAAGAAAAGAAAAAGAAAAAGAAAAGAATAACCGTAACATATGGACTCTGTTCGTGCGACGCTGCCACAACCTGCTTGGGGATACAAGAAGGAAACACCGGCTGCATTCGACACAGTTCTTGCATGGAAAGAACTGCCTGAAGAGGGGGTGGATCTACATACACTTGGGCCCCAAGGTGCGTGCTCCTGATGTGTTAATCAGGCATGACTCTTACTGGCTTATTCTAGGACTACATGTTGCACAAGTCCAGGCTATATTCTCCCTTCCAGACCGTTTCGGTACCTTTCCACACCCTTTTGCCTACGTAGAATGGTTTACTCCTCTCCGGAAGCTCGATGACCATACAGGCATGTTCAAGGTTAGCCGATCAACAGCAAACCAGCAGCAGAAGTCATCTATAATTCCTATCACCTACATTTCGTGGAGTTGTCATTTGACACCATGTTCAGGGCAGAAAATGGATCCTACATGGACAAGTGAGAATGTATTGGACAGAAGTAAGACTTTCTTTGTGAATTCATATCTTAGACACATTGACTTTGTACTACTACGACATGAATGCAAAATTAAGTTGCGTTAGATCTCCTTCATCCCCCAAAAGACCTTCTGTAATATGAATCGAACCACAAAGTGCATGTAGCATATGCCAAGGTATGTATAGACTCTGCATGTGGTACCTAATGGTACACGGAGCTACGTACACTTGGCAGAGGAGTACCGAGGTTACTGAGTGTACTGCTAGTACGTAGGGTTGGCATGGGGCTACGTAGCATTTGGCATTTTCCTGATGTTTCCTTCACTGATTATGACCCCTAGGTACTCTGTCTCTTTGACTTCAAACTCACATTTCTCCACTTTTAAAAACAACTTGTTGGCATGTAAAATGGCTAGCACCTTCTTGATGATATGGTGGTGTGGGGGCAGATGGTATAGTGGTTACCTCTGCTTGCTCGATTGTACCTCGTTCCACACAGAAAATATTTATTTTCACACTCACGAGTTCAAGCCCCCCACCCCCCAGAAAGTAACACTCTAGACACTTTCTGGGTTCTGCCACTTCTGATATCCGAATCATGTGAAATGCAGCCTCCCTTTCTAAACATGATCAAGTCATGCACATTACCCCCTCTAAAATCACATGACAAATCTTATCTCTCCTTGCCATTCTGGGCATCGGTTCGAGGCCCTTCCAGTGATCTTTTGATCACACTGTGTTGGTGATCTTGGCCGAGTAAGGCAGGTCTGGGAAAGAGAGACTGGAGAAGGACTGGGATTGATGGAGTTTGGTGGGAAGTAGGACTAGGCCATGAGAAGGGTCTGGTGAAGAAACGACGGTGACAGATAGATTGCGGCCATTTCTCGGCAGAGGTCAGGATTTCCCAAAGTGGGAAAAGGTGGTAGTGCCCGAGTCGCACCAAGTTATCGAGGGCGAGGGATAATTTCATGCCATAACATAAGTGCACAGCTTGTTAAGCTGACTTAATCGATGATATCATACACACAGTAACACAAGTAGCTAAATTGGACCATATGCATGCGTAACCAATATACTTAGGATTTAAATAAAAAAAAAAAAGATATGGCGGTGTTCTGCTTTGGTTTGAGACACAATTAGGATATCATCCAGGTACACCATTACCTTGCTGGCTGCAATGAGCTCTTTGAATATGTCGTTCATCATCCACTGGAACATGGCCAGGGAGTTAGTAAGTCCGAAGAACATGACCAAGGGTTCATAGAGGCCCCAATTGGTATGGAACGTGGCCTTCCACTCGTCTCCCACCTTAATCCTCACATTATTGTACCCCCACCTCACGTCCAACTTGGTGAAGTATTTGGCACCCTTCAATCTGTCCATCAGTTCTCTGATGAGGGGGAGTGGATAGCGGTTTTTGATGGTCATCTCATTGAGTTTGCGATAATCCTGTACAGGATGCAGTTTACCATCTTTCTTTTTAACGAAAAAGAAAGGAGAGGCCATCAGAGACTTTGAGGGTCGAATCCTCCCTGTGGTCAAGTTCTTGTCTAAAAACTTGTCTAACTCTTCCTGCTCCGTGGGGCTTAGCGGGTACACTTTACAGTCCAAGTTCGCATTAGCATTGGGGATTAGCTTGATGGCATGATCCCAGGGTTTCTGGGGTGGCATCTCATCAAAGCTTTCTTTGTCAAATATGTCCTTATACTCATGGTACTCCTCTGGTACGAGTTCCTCAAAAGTCTTCACTCCCTTCTTTTCATTTGCCCTGGCCACCAGCTCATTTGCCTTGGTACCCATAGCATGAATGTTGAATGCTTCCTCGAAGTCCACGACTAAAATGGTATCCCCTTCCTCATACTCCTCTCCCCATCTGGCAGATGGGTCTTCGTCCAGTAGCGAGAACGGTATTTTTCTGCAGCTACACCATGCAAGGGTTATGGTGCCGGTGTTCCAATCGATCAAGGGGTTATGGCATTGGAGCCAGTCATGCCCTAGAAATATCGGTGGGGATCCGCCTAAGTCAACGACTGCTAGCTCAATCTTCTCAGTGTGGTCGCCTATCTTTAGCCTTACTTCCACATACTCCATGATGTCTCTGCCTTTATTCCTTGTTCTGTCGGCATTGTACACTGGGGTAGGTCAGGCAGCTTGTTTAGTGGCAAGGCCATTTGCCCGCACCCACTCTTGGTTGATGGAACTTCTGGTACAACCGCTGTTGACCAGGGCTTTCATGTCAAAGGCATCATGTGTGTCTATGGTTTCAAGTTGTACATTTATTAGCATGCTCTGCCCCTTTCTCCCTCGTATGTACATGGGTGGCTTTTTTAGGTCATCTAACCACTCCCACTTGTCCCTAGCTTCCGATGCGGATTCTTCCTTCTCCTTCAATGTCTCACACAACTCATCAGTTACCTCTTCCCTACGCCTTGGATGTACCCATCCGTTCAATGTTGCGCGTGCCTCTGAGCTGGTCCTTGCAAGTCTCAGCACACGTCGTGTCCAGTGGGGTCTGAAGGGTTCATAGTAGGTGTTGGGTATAGCTTTGACTTGCGTTACTGCTTCACCATGAGTAGAATGTGACCTACCAGGAATATGGACCAGTATATCTGATTTAAGGTGCTCTTCAGGGTCAGACACTTCTTCTATTGTGACCAGTCGGGGGGGGATCCTTGCGATGGCATTTGGTCATCGGGGCGAGAGTGGCCCCCGGGTGGGATTTGGTCGCTCTTGAACATTGTGGACTCCAGATCCTTACTATCCAAACCCCTGAGATTCCTCATATCTTTGGCCTCATCAGGTCGGCTGCATCCAGCCCCTTTCTTCTGGGGGGGAGAGCTCATCAGCAGGTAGGCCTGGACTGGTAACCCTTCTACCATCCCAGGCAGATAAACTCCTAGAGGCTCTTTGCCAAAAGTCAATTCCGCATCAGAATGCGACTTAGACTTAGGGCAGCGGGAATCCTCTCCTATGCCAATATCTGTTTGCGATTTCTTCTTAGTTTCTTCATCTGCGAACATGGCAAAAATATTGGTATATTGTTCATATGGTGTACCTACATATGTGTGATAAGTCTGACCAGCAGAAGATGAGCATGCACTATGAGAAACTAAGTCCTTGGCCTGATGCCGTCAAATCGCTTATTTCGATGCTGGCTGCTCTTTTGACTCCTTCACCTCCTTGACCTTTGTGTCCTTTCCCAGGGATTCTTCCTTCTCGGCCTCCTGCAGCATCTGGCACAAGTGTTGGGTAGGAATCTTTTTGCGTGGTGGTAGCTTAACTGGGATCCACTTCAACTTGTCCTCGGGACACTTGTGGTCTCGGCTCCACCTGGTATTCCTGCACTTGAAGCACCGCTTCTCGCTGCAGAGTTTGTCAATCTCCATTGGCTGTCCCTGTCCCCCGTACATCATCCCTGTCACATCTCTCTTATTGCTGGAATTCCCAGAACTGCTGGCTTTTCCTGACAACTTCCCTTGGTTGTCTCGACCTGAATTATCCAGGGAGGTCTTATGAGTGTCCTTCTGTGCTTGGCCGTACCGGTAGTTGGCATCGATGCACTCAATTTGCCACTTCCACTCGGCATACGTCTTTGGCCATTCATTGTCTCCGTGCATCACCATATTCTTGACAGTGGGGTGTATTGCATCTTCCACCGTCGTGAACATCTGTTTCTCATTGTCGAACTCTTCACAATCATGGGCCATCTCTTCGAATTTGCAGAAGAACTTGACTGCCAACTGGAAGTCCGCCTGTCTCAGCTTCTTCCACTGTTGCCACTTAATCACCAGCTCTGCCACATCCTGGAACTCGTCTTTTATTGACTGCACAAACTCCTCCCACATGGGTAGTCACCAGTGGCCATGCTCCTGGTCCTTGTATTTACAATCCTGGTGTACCCACCATTCCTGTGCCTTGCCCCTGAGGTACAACTGGGCAAAGGTGATCCTAAATAGATTAATTCCTTCCGAATTCAGCATGTACTGCCATGGAAACACCATGAAATACAATTTGCATTGATTAATATATTGGCAGATATCCTTGGAATCTCCATAGAAGAACTTGGGAACCGTGATCAGCTTTGGCTTGACCTCATCCCACGGGTTGTTCTTTTCTGGTCCAGCCCAAGATGGTGGCATATTGGGGGGTGATGGCGGCACAGGTGGCAGCACCAGGTTGGGTGGTCGAGGTAGTGACCTGAGATGGTGATTGTGCTGCGGGGAAGGGTACCCTCTGGGTCGATTGTGGTAGGGTACAGGCGGCGGTGGTGGCAGTGGTGGCACAGGCAAATGGGCTCCTTTTTCCTTACCCGAGTCTGCGGGAGGGTTTGACGGCCCTCCTACTTCACTTCCTCCTCCCCCTGCTTGTAGCCCTTCCATTTCCCATGGATGTGGCATCATCACCAGTCTTCGATATGGGGCACAACCCTCTCTTCTTTCTCCATCATGGCATAGGTTCCATACGATCATTGCCTTGTGCCACACTTCTGCTTCTATGATGCTACACATGATGATGGTATCCCCAATCGCTCTAGACCTGAAGTAGTCTTCTCCAGCCTCCATGAGTATCCACATTGGGTCCTCTACCATGTCCTCGGCAATGATCTCATACAAATCGGTCCATGTAAGGGACCATAACAGAAACGGGACTGTGTCTATGCTCCTAGTGAGTACCAGCTCAGACCTGCCTCATTATCTCCAGTTGTATGGCCACGTGCAGTGGCATTCTTGGCATTCCTGGCCCTCCACCTTCCAAGATTGGACTCCTCATCCCAGAGGTCATTGCGGTAGTCATCGAAGGCATCAGCTCGCTCCTGGTAGGTGACAGCCCTTCGGAGGGCATATCGTAGTCTCCTTCCTGCAAGCTCGGCTTGTTCTCTCGCCTCAGACTCAGTTGTGTCAGGCTCAAGCGGGAAGTTGAATCTTCTTCTAATGGTGTGCTCCTTGGCCTCGGTGATGTGTGCCTCCCATGCTCCTGCTTGCTCCAATCTGGCTGCTCTCACTGC